AGGTGCGCCCCTCGGTAGGCGGCCGCCGCGGTGGCTGCTGGATACGGGAAGCCGGGCACTGCGGGGCGAGAGGACAGAGAAAGGCAAAGGCTTTCAGACGCAGGCCGGCCACCGGGAGGTGGGGAATCCCTGCCCCATGCCGCCCCTTCTTCCTGAAGCCCAAGGCTAGACACCTGCTCCTCCGTTTCCCTCCCCCAATTACCAGGAGTCAGGGGTCTAAAGGTGGCAGCAGGGCAGGGGACTAGGTCTGATTCCAGAGAGGATGAGCTGCTTAAGAGGGTGCTCCCTGTGCCCAAGAGAATGCGGTAAATGACAGTGACAAAGAATTCTTTAAAAGCTAACTGCACAGTTTTTTAAAAAAGGCGGATTACAATATGTATATGCAATGTGTTCTCGACATCTGTCTATCCATCCATGTATCCACATACATATGCACACACGTCGTGTGTAATCTATGTTTATGTGTCTAAGCACACAATATGCACGAGTATGTGTACATGCATGTCTATGTGTCTGTGCATGTGTGTACACACGCATATTTATATGCGCGTGTACATAATTGTACATACGTATACACACGTATGTCAGTGTGTTCACACCCATCTTTGTGGCTGAACTATGTGTCAGTCGTCTGCTACAGCTTTTCCACATCTCGTTTTCAATTATTTCCCACATTTTCCTTTATGTGCACATACCGCTTGTTAAAACTTTTAAAATCGAGATACAGCGTACCTACAGACACGTGTACGCCTCATGAGTGTACCTAACCCCTCCTGCCCCAAGAAACACATCCTTACCCACATCCCGTCAGCCCCCTAACCATTTAGGCAGCTTTTAAAACACACACGATCACCTTAATGGCAGAGAGGTCTAGGGACTCACTCTTAAGATGACGGGCCGTGGGCAGAGTTGAGGGAACATTCTCTGAGCGAGATAACTTGGTGGAGAGTCAGGAGGGAAATTAAGCCTGATGCTCTGGAACCCCTGATAATTAACCCCGTTGCTTCTGCCTGGGATGTCCTTCTTCCCACCGCGTGCAAACCTGAACCGCGGGGCCTTTGGGAAACCGCCTCTGCCTTCCGGCTCCTTGCACTTGCGCGAACCCGAAACCTCCCACCGCACTGCGCATGCTTGTCCCACCCCGCTCAGCAGCCAGGGCTGGCCAACCGCAGTACACAGAGGGGGTGCGTTCCTAGAACGCATGGGGGAGCCACTGTCCCTGGAGGCCTACGTCGAAGGCTCAGAAAGTCCTGCGGCGAGGGAAGCGCTTTAATGGGGTGAACCCAGCAGACCCAGACTCCACTTTTCCAGGAACTCTTTGTTTGGGGAAGCACCCCCCGACATACACACACACACTCAGGGGCATTGGTTTTGAGAAGAGGAAAGTCAGTCACTTGTTACGCTTTCTCTCTCCTATGAAACTGCAAGCTCCTTGAGGCCTCCCCCCTATATTCTACCCGTCTTTGCGTCTCCTCCTACCTCCCCAACAGCAGAAGCCCCCTCGATTTTATCTACAGGAGGTTTTCAACATGGGGCACCGGGATGAATGGATGGATGACTTTGATATGAGAACAAACGAATGAAGCTGTGGGCTGTGGTCAGGCCACAGGACGGACGGACTATCCAGCAAACCTTCTCTTCTGGCCCCATTTTCTTCTCTCATCCTGCTTACCTAGCCGGAGCTTTGAGGAATTCCAGAGAGAGGGGGACAGGTGAGATGAACCAGGGCGAGATGGGTTTCCTTTCCAGACAGCCCTCTCTCCCTGCTCCATCCCTCCTGGGAATGCGCGCAGTGTTTGTAATGGCATTCAAGGCTGGGAAGGACAACCACCAACCATTATACGCCATCCCAGCGACTCCCTAGTCCCTTCCGGCATCATGTAAACATAAAGGCTCAGAAAGGCCTTACAGAGAAGGAAGCTCTTTAATTCAGTTCACCCCAAACACCCAAACTTCGCCCTCCCAGGAACTCTCATTTTGTGGAACACGTAACCTCTCCCAGGGCGTTATAATTTTACGTACTCAATATCCAAACTGCCTCGAGGGGCTTTCCCTGATCTTATCATCACATTCGGGAGAAGAAACAGTCCACCCCATCTCTTCCCATTCCTCCCAGTCCTTGGAGGGTCTGTTTTTAACTGCATGGCGGGAGGCAGGGGGCAGAGAGCGGACACGAGTGGTACTTCCCCTGGAAATCACTCCCAACTCCGTACCACCTCGGGGAACTGCAGGGGTGGGAATAGATCCCTCAACCCCGAAGTGATGCGGGCGAAATGCTAGGATGGGTGAATCAAGCCAGGATGATTTTTATCTTTCTATTTGTGTCTGAGAAGACCATAGGCTGTGTGTAACCTTCTTAAAAAATTACCGTTCGAGACAAATCATGCAGCTGTACTTGACTCTTGGCTTGCCAGCCTCTAGCACCCCGCATTTCCTGGCTCCTATTTCCAGTAATGGTGCTTGAAATTGCAGAGAGGTGTCGATCTTAATGGGGAAAGCGGGTAAATCCTAATATCCTAAAAAGCCCAGAAGTAATGAGATAGGAGATGTTTGCTTCAGGACTGGGGAGACAAGGAGGGAGTGTGGCTTTGACGCCAACTCCTTCTTGCCACAGTTCAAATATTAAGTTTTCATAGGAACGCCCTGGATTTGGAAATAAAGAAAATGAAAAATTCGCAATCTGGCAGAGCAGCTGGCTGCCTGTGTGAGCAAACCTGGTAATTATGCTGACCCATTCATTATCGCTGGCTACAGCGCAGAGTGAGCGAGACAAGATCCCTCTCGGCGACAAGCAGGTTTTACAATAATTCTTGGAGGATTTAGATGTTGAGATGTAACGTGAAACAGAAGTTCGGCAGGAGAGCAAGGGGGAACACAAGCTGCTCAAAGTGCAGAGCCAGGATTCCATTTTGCAGCCCCTCTGCTGCAGAGAGAAAGGTCCCTCCCAGTGCAGGATGATGTATTTATAGGTCTTAAGGCTCTTTAGGGTCCTCTACACGGGGCAGATTAGAGGGGTTCTTATTCTGATAAAAGAACACGGGAAGGACTACACATCAACTCCTGGGTTAATGTGTAGCCTTTCTGGGAGGCCAAGTACCCTCAGGTATAATGATGATTCCATAGTTCATGCTTTAGACCAGGCGCTTCATGGAGAAAGTATGTGGATTTGCTCAGCTATCTCTTTTCTGTGGCCAGTCTAGAACTGGCAAGGGTCTCCCTGTCTCTAGTTAGTTAATCATCATGATTAATAGGCATTTTCTTCCACTTTCCCTTCTTATTGGTCATCCTTTCTTCCTTCTTATCCTGGCTCCCCACTCTTCCCTCTCCCTTTCTTCCTCCTTTCAGACCATTATTTATTTTTTAATCTCCTTTTGGAGGGGACCACCATGAACCTTTCCTGGTATACAGGAAGTCATGACTTACATCCTCCGTAGCTTCCGTGACTTTGAGGAAAATGACACATAACAAAACCAGTTAAGTTCCCATGGTATCTCATCGATGTTAAAACAAAACAACATTGAACGAAATAATGTTATCGAAGGGCCTGCTGTACTAGCGATCGAGTGGCCGGGATCACAGAAGTGAAGACCTGTCGCTATTGTCAGAACGCAAGCTCCATCAGGATGGCCCATGTGCTCTGCCCACTGATGTACAAGGCTGCCCTGGCACAGAGCAGCCTCACGTACTTGACACCACACCTGGCCACCTGGTGGGTAACCAGTGCTAGTCTCTTTCCTTCTGGGTGAATAGAGCCCCTTCCTTTCCATTTCCCACCTTTCATGAACGCTGTTCTCTATACAAAGTGTCTCTTCAGTATCCGCAAGACAAACAGTACGCAAACACCACAGCTGAGTCTCGGTTATGATCCTTACAAAAATAATTTCTACGTCCATACCTTTAGGTGCTGCTGCATTGGTGCAGAGATAGCAATCAGATTTGAAATATGTATGAATCAAAAAGGAAAAGATTTGGATGAATGTATTGGACTTGGTATTATTGCAAACCCTCCATTCATTTAAATTCACTTTTATGGCCGCATGAAGTCAGGATTTAA